AGGAGGGAACAGCCCACCAGCCCAGCCCAGCCCTGTGGTTTCGGTCCCGGCTCTCCTCTGCTCCACAGGGCAGGTCCCCTGGGCTGGACTTACACAGACAAACCAGTAAGGAGACTGGCGAGAGCCAGCCAGGCGCTTGCAGCAGATGGGTGTGCTTTCCATCAGCCACTTCTCTCTTCCGAGAAAGAAAAAACAAGACCCTAAATCTGCTTATGATTTATTATTAGTTCTCACACTGACTCATTACAGCAGCAGCACGACACTTGACCACAGTGAGCCAGCCGGACTGCAGTACCACATCAAATCCCTGAGCGGAGGAAAACCCTGAGACGCATATTTTGCAACCACTTTCAAGGGTCCAGGCTCGATGGGGCTGCAAAACGCCTGCACCTCAGGCTGCTGTGTGCTCGGTGGGTACTTCTGTCCCAAAGTGCTTGTTTACCTTAAACATCTCCCTCCCAGGGCTGCACTGCTGGAACCCACACTGGCTGATCCCATGGAGCCTCCCTGGCTGGCTTCCTACCTGCTGAGGGATGCAAGAGAAGTGGCCCCAGCGGCTTGCTGCCACGTCTGGGCAGGGGTATCTGCAGCGCTTCACCACCAGGTTCCTCTGCAAACCCTAGAACAGCCACAGCAACACAGCCAAAGGGATGCCGAGAGGAGATTCTGTGTTTTTCCCACTGCTGCTGGCAGTGCAGCTGATCAAAACAAAAGACCTATCTGAAGCTACTCAATCTCCCAAGACAAATATTAAGCTTCTCTCACCCCAGAGCATCAGAAAACCTGTGAAGACACTTACAGTTTTAGGTGAAGAAAACTGTTTCATAGTTAACTGTGTGCCAGAAAATACAGGAGGCAGATGCAGGGAGAACACAACTGGGTGTTCTATATTAATACACACTTCAGCCTCCATCGCCTGGACAGCACACAAAATACCTCAAAAACCGTATTTGATGACTGCAGCGGAGTAGATGATTGTCATCTGCTGTGGCAATTAGAGTGGCAGATGTCCCATCATCTCACTGGAACGGCTGCTTCATTGATTTGCGCAGCAGAAGCCGGGCAGTTCAGTAACAAGAACAAGGGGATGCCAAGCACGGGATATTCCCAGTGCTGCCACTCTCTCCGTGGGTGAAGCCCACCTCCACGCCTTGTCTCCCACCCTTTGCATCGCTGTTCTGTCTACCTGCGCTGGGCATTTTACAGTCGGGAGCACTGATCCCCTCCGTCAGGGCCTCGGAGGCTCCTGCATTAAAAGCCTCCTGCATTCTGGACCAGCATAACCATGAAGTTTCATCTGCTCTAGCATATGCGGAGGCTTGGTAGGGTATTAGCCTTTATTAAACTTCTTGCTAAATGGTGCTGTGGGAAGCCTCTACTGAAAATACAAATAAAGAAACCATTTTCCACCTACTGTTGCCTTCCAGCAGACTTTTCACACTATTCCTGCAAGTGGAAAAAAAGGGGAAGGAAGGAGAAAGGAAAGGCTGCAGCAGCTCTCTAGAAGACACAAAGGCATTTACTTTGTAATTCACACCCATTTCTTTTCAATCCTCTTTCCACAAGACCTTTCTTTTCACAATATAAGCCCTGAAAGAAGCTTATTTGTTTCTTGGACTTGCTAGAGAAGCCCTGAGCTGGACACCTCACCAAGCCTCCCCGCAGGCTCAGCGTGTTGACCAGCACAGGGGCCCTCCCCGGCACATCCTAGACACTCTCACAGCAAGCATAAAGCTGCAAAATCTAAGCCTGCAGATACACAAAACCTCAAACTTTGATTCTTCCTTTCCAAATCAGGTGCTGCTCAACTGCGCCAGCTTCCTCCACCCCCAACCCTCCCCGTCGTCCATCAAACAGCCTCCTGCGCTGTGAAACCACCCCCGGTATTTCCTGTACCACAAAGCTGTCAGTCTGAGACTCTTTACTTGCCATATTTTAACAGGAACATTTTTATCCTTCTGCTTTATAAACCACCGATTCAAACTTCACTTGCATATTACTCGCCTATGGAGACAAGAATTTACTTTCTAAGGTGGTACAAACCCAATACTTTTAGCGCTAATGCAAAAACCTTTATCTTTGTACCGCAGCAATACCGAACCTCCAAGGCTTCCCAAGCTTCCCAGTTCTTCTGGCTCATTTTCCTTGCTTGTTTATCCAAAAATCTCCAAAATACAACTAGCCCTAGGAAACTTGGTGAGCCCCAACCTTACAAACCACAGCAAAGTTCAAACAGGAAAAAGACAGCGGGTGCCTGTGGCACTTCCTTAAAAGCAAGCGAAATCACCGGCAAACACCATGTCCCAGTCTCACTCCACTACCAGACCATCACAGCATCTATGGTGACATTTCATTCACATGTTTTACAAGGCTGTTTGGTTTTTTTCAGATGGCACGAGGTGCGTTTTATACTTTTTCTATCTAATCTTAAACGTACATAAAGTTTAGAACTGACGAGGGAACGTATCAACACTTGGCCGAGGCAACAACTGGACTAAGCCCACAGCAATCTCGCCCTGGGGCGAGACATTGGGCGCCTGGCAGCACAACTGCTCACCACCTCCACAGAAAGCCTCCACTGCTCTGAGGCTATGCCAGCCTTGCTTTGTCATCGCCATTATAACCTGTGACCTTACAGACTTACATGTTAGTTAACTAGGATCGAGTTCTTACGTTCTACGACACATAAGCCAACATTAGTTCGTTATACAGCAATACCCTTCACAGCAAAGAGTGAAGGGAACACACACCAGTGCACTGAAGTAGTTAACTGCATAGAAAGCTGCATAACAGTCAAATATTTTTGGAGGCATTTGTTTCAGTTCTTAAAAAAAAAAAAAAAAACACCACACCAAAAAACCAAAATCGACCAAAAAACCCCCAGATTCTCAAAGGCAAGAAAGGACATCCAGTACCTAGTCACATTTTATGCCTTTGAAAACCTCACTCTAGTTCCTACAAACACGATACAAAGGTGGCTTTTCACTGGAAGGAATTACATCAGACTCCCTCCTGCTCACAGAAAACTGTATATCAAACTTCTGCAAGCCCTTTATGAAAGTAGTACTAAATATAGTCTCTTTCATGAAAGATTTGTCAATTGGTATAAAAATGTAAGCAGCTTTACAGATACTCTCCAAGGCATATGAAACAATCATGAAGTTTGCCCAAAGAGACCATTGCAGAGTAGTTAATTGGAGTGAAGAACCCCCTAAACCTCCCTGCCCCAAACCTCTAAGAGAATTAAGAGAATTAACACCCAGTAAGATGTGAAGACCCCCTGCCTCTAAAGCAGAAAGGCTTTGATTACGCAGTGTCACAGACCCTGCTGAAACAGCAGCTCTTGATGCTTGTACAGGAAAGCCAGTTTCCTGGCTTCCAGGTTTGGCTTTTGTTTGTTTCTTTGTACTTTTTTAAGAGTAATTATTTACATGTCCTCCATGTAACTTTAATTTATGAATTAAGAAGGTAGCCTTCTGTACCTTGTACCCCTCAAATCAGACATTAGTGCAGGGGAACGTATTTTATTCTTGTTCGTTGCAGTAATCATCTGAGAAACTTGCATATTGATTTGGCTTATAAGCTGTCAGGAAGCATGCCTGTAACTTGACACACTCAAATGATAGTCTACATCTACAAACTCTAACGTAAGGACCATTCAGCAGTCACTGCCTCTGACTTCAGAGGGCAAAAACCCCAAAACAAAACCTATGGTGTGCCAGAGCAACACCTGCATTGTGGAAAAAACAGTAAAACCACTACTATTCAACGACACCCTCTTTATTCAAAAATAGATATCTATGAGACATTTCAGAATATACTGCTGTCACAAATGGCAGCCTATATGTCTAAATTAATTCCTAAATCAATTAATATACAGATTTAAGCTTTTGTTAAAAAAAGACACACCTTGGGGAAATCTGTTTAACCTTAAAAGAACGTCACCCAGTTCACCAGATGCCCTTTGCCCAAAAAGTAAAACAAATAAAATTAAAAACCACAAGACTTCATTTAAATTAAGCAAAATAAAACACACACATATATTTGGAAAAAAAAGAAATCAAAACATTTCAATTAAAACAAAACAAAAAAAAACAACCAACATACAACTCTCTCACAGAAGATCTGCCCAAAACAGCGTGAGATGTCAACACATTTGTCTACATCAGGTTTTTTTTTAGACAGCTTTTTTTGTCCTATAATGGATACACATTCAGTCAATGTTCAAAATCATTATTAGTTAAAACAGCTTCAGGGTAACTCCATGAGCTGAGACAGGATAGAAATGAGTCTTTTGGTTTGAGTTTTTGAGGTTTGGTGGGGGTTTTTTTGTTTTTCATTTTTGGCAAAAGCAGAGAGAACGTACAGTGCTTTATCTAAATAATGTTTGGACCATAAAAGGCTGTACAATCAAACCAATTCATGGAAAGAACAGTTCTGCCACTGGAAAAGTTCCTGTAAACTAAGAGAAAAAACAGATTTCTTGGCTGGGCAGTAAGGGTGCAAGGAGTTTTAAAAAAAGGACAAAATGAAGCCTCAGTAAGAAAAGGACATGAGCTTTTTAACAACTTAATGACCAAAGAATGCTGTATTATTTAACTGAATGCTGAATAGGCTACTGAATACCCTGTAAAATAAATTAATGAGGACGCAGAACAAGCTTTGCATTTCTGTAGGTAGGTTTCCTCTCATGTCTTTGACAACAGCAGCTTAAGACTATAGGGAGGCACGAACACAGCACATCACTTCAACTAATTTCAGCCTCTGTGTTACAAAACCTGTATTATCAGATCAAGTGTTTCCAGAAACTTAAAATGTTTTATAGTGAGAGGCGCTAAATTTAAACAGAATTGTTATCCAAATTGGAATGGTTTTCAGTGATCAGTCCAGCTTGTTAGACCTAACACACAAACTGAAGTGTAACTACATCCATGGCACCTAAAACATTAGCTAGCAAAATAATGGAATTAAGAGTATTTTAAATTTGCCTTCTTTCCTCCTTTTTTTTTTTTTTTACTTTTCCTGATTATAAAAATCAACTCACAATAATCTGTGACACAAAATTAAGTACATCCTTCTAATATCTACATGCATGGACATGATACATGTGCATACAGGATATGTGCATATATATGGGTCTATTTTCTATATAAATAAATATTTATACCACATTTAACTTCTGTGCATCAAATAGCTTCACTAAAGCTATGGAGAGAATTTATAGAATAGTATTTTTAATGTAACCATCCTGAGAGTAGATCAGACAGTGCCTGTCACAGGGATATCAACAGTTGCAATACACCACTCCAACCTCTCAGTTCGTTACACCAAAGCTTCTGTGACCATCTAATTTTGTATAATGAAGAGGAAAAATGTGGTATAAATCTAAGGTAGCTAGAACAAAATTTACTTCCACTCTCATTTAGGTAATATCCAGTTCTGCATCGCTCAGCAGTGTGTAAATTATGAAGCTATGTCTAATTCACAAAGAAAAGCTGCTTATTTTTATTGCCTGTGGTGAGTTTCAATTTATGTACATGCCAAATAGGAAGTATGTTCATGTCAGTCCCACAACAGCACGAGGAACTGTAGATTTAAGAAAAATATTTCTCTGCACCACTGCTCAGTAGATGCCTTCTTACACTGACATGGTACAGTACCTGCGTACACCACCCCCACCACCCCCCTCCCCCAAGCCCACCAGCCACTCTACTGCTCTCAGAGATGAGGTTCAGAAACCCAGCTAAACCAGACAAGACTTATTCAGAAATAATACAATGCTTTTACAGGGGAAAAATGTTATATGGTCAACCTTTCTTTGAAACTTTCCAGGTATGTATGTACATGATTCTCATGACTTTTGTTGGGGGTAACAAGTGCTAAGAGCAAACAGCAACTAAAGAGTATGGAAAAATATGAGAAAAGTTTGCCTATCTGGACTATCCCCTCCCTTTAGAGCTCACAAAGACTCGCTCTTCTTCCTCCCCTCAACGTGAGCCCATGTACACAGAGAGAGGGTGAGCATGAGCAGCCAAGAGGTTGAAAGCAGGGTCTGCAAGTTCCTTCCTACTGTTGATCTTGGAAGACTGGATTTCCAGTCAACACCAGAGTCTTCTTACTTCTGCTGGTAATAATGGAAACTGGGGGACACCATTTGTTCTAGTCTGTTGAAAACAGGTCACCAGCAGACGGCAGAGGTGCCAGACCTCCTGTGACATTGGGCAGCAGTGACAGATCTGGAAGGCTCTGGATGTGGGATTTCAGCTCCTTGCGGACCTGGGTTACCCGAGCAAGCTTCTGTTTATATTCCTGAGGGAAAGAGACAAGAGAACGAAGATTAAGCACAGGTTAACTAACAGTGCTTTTAGTTAAGCCAGAAGTATTTTCCAGGTGAGGATTCTGAGAGAAGAAGGTGGCAAGGCACTGGTTCTCTGAGCAACTGCTGGCATGACTGCAGACCCTGTCATCTGCACCCAAATTCACAGCCTGTCCACAGGCTTTGGCATCCCTAAACCACTAATCCTGCCCTGTGTCACTTTAACAGAAGCTATGTAAAATGCCCCCAAACCCATACCCACTGGTGCCTGGTAGAGTATTTGAGACGTGTCATTACATAGTTGCTCTATTCTTGTATTCTTCCACAGGCTCCTGACTTCCACCCGGTGCCAGAGGAGGAACACTGACAGAGCGTTCCTCAGGCACACCTCTACTGACAAAGGCAGCAGGCTGAGGCACACCAGAGCTACTACTACGCTGCCAGAATGCTCTTTTTTTTTTTTCCAAGCTTGATCAATTTCAAATATTTAGATAATCCAGTTTTCCCCTTCGAGTCATTAAATCAAAACCAAGTTTTGGTTGTGGAATAGGGTCTCCTCTAGGAGTTGTTAGACAACTCATGTTAGCAACAACAGCAGCTGTACCACAAGACCGGCACGTTAGCAAACAACACAGAAGTATGTGTATGATCACTAAAATGTAAACCCGAGAAAGATACATCCACACTCGATTGAAACTGAGCAAAATACAGAAACTAAAATTTTCAAGAGTTTTATTACAAAGGGAGAAAACCAGTAAGTTAAAAATCCCTGAAGAGGAAACTTGCAAGTAGTTTTTCCACAAATGAGGTCTGGATTGAACATTAAAAGTCCAGTGGGAAATATCTATCCATCTTCAGAAATCTCCACAATCTAAGAGACACCAGATAACAGTGACTAGTATTTCATAATGAGAAGCGAGAGAAAGAGTTTGGACCCTGGAAATGAAAGAATGAACCACACCTTGTTAAATTATGTTTAGAGGCTGTTTAAGAGCAGACCAACATATATCCAAGTTATCTAATAGAGAAGCTCAAATAAAGATTGATGTTTATTTAGTTTTCAAAGTTTTGCGATTCTAAACATTTATGTAAGTCACAGAAGACAGCTATTTAAGTAATAAAAAAACAGTATCACATCAGATCTTTTGGAATGCACCAGTCTACCTAACTACATGTGGCATATTTTTTGTGGCATCTCCAGAATGCAGAAAACAATGAGCTTAAGAAGAATCATACACAGAATAGGGTTCCATACAGTCAGTTGTAATATTAACTTACTTTTCATTTCTTAATTACTTGGCAAAGAGAACAGTTTACCAAAGAACAGAAGTTTATCTTTGAAGATCAAATAAAACTAGGCACACATTTAATCAAAACATCTTTCTGAAGAGTTACAACTTTAATCCAATCTTTCTAACCTTCTCACTGATGGAAATTCTCTTCACTTTCTCCAAATATCAAAGCACAGCAATTTCTATGGGGTTACAAGCAATGAGTTTACACTCTCTGTGTTCCATTACTTTGAATTAGAATAGCAAGAGCAGCAGTCAATTGCAACAACTCGGAATACTCCTACGCCTGGAATGGCAATATAAATACATTCCATAAATTTCCTGCCAGCACCAAATAAGAATGTCCTTTAACAGCCTATTTCAAACTTAAATCCTTTTATGAGGCTCAGTGAGTTAACATACCATCATAACCAAACACTTCTGCCAATGTACATAGGATATATACTGAAATAATCAAGTTCAAACAAAGCTCTACCAGCTTCATAAACTAAAGCGTACTGTTCTCAAGCCTAGAGGAGAACAACAACAACAACAAAAAACTCAGGAGAAGGTGCACCCATTAATTCAGGATTGCGAGGCTCTGTTTTGTTTTAATGGAAGACAAAGAATCAGAATCAAAATAAGAATGCACCCCACATCCCTAGTCATACCATTTTGGGAAATATGTAAATAGGGAAACAAGTCAAGAAAGTCACATTATGAAGACAGAGAACAAAAACAGGAAAACACCCCAGATTTTTAAGCATGAATACAGAACAAAAGCAGATAGCGAGGAGAGCCATGGAAGTACTGCATTCCAACACTTGGCGTAGTTCTCCAAGACAACATGGAAGCCAACACTGGGGAAAGAGAGAGATGGTAAACAGAGCGCTGTGCTCAAGGCTGGCACGTCACGAATAGTGTGAGGCAGGGCGACAGCAGAACACCAGCTCCTGCACACATGGGATATAGACAGCAAAAATATTTATTATATTATTGTATTGCAAATGCTTACAGATATAAGGTGGAAGAGGCTGGATTCAGATACTGCTTTTTGTCACTCCCAGAAGATTGTCTTAAAAAAATAATCGTAATTCAGGACATTGTCAGGGAGTGATGGATATCAAACCAGGAAAGAAAGGGCAGTGCTTTCTCAAGAATGCCAAACTGTCAAGAGTGAGTATCGGCAGGTGGGGTTTTTTTGCTGTAGTAATTCTTACTAAAGATAGGAAAGAAATCAAGAAGCGCAAAGCAGCTGGCAAGTCCTCCAAGTCTGATAAATGGGTAGAAGGTGCAAATTCCCAGCATAAGCCAAGAAAATACCTCAAATACTGCTTGAATTGCCAAGATCCATGCACGAGAATTCTGTAAAAACAGGTACAACACAATGTCTACCTCCACGGGAAGACTAACGTCCTGCCACTTCAGGGCAAAACTGACAAGAGGACCAGGATATGCTACTTCTAGTGGACAATTAGGTCTAGGACACTATGTTTTTTTAGCTGAAGACGATTTGTGTGACTATTACAATTGTATTAGATCCAAACAATATTTCTTTACTGATAGAACTATTTAGGGGAGTGGCAATCTTTCCAATGCCTTGTTTGATAGCCCAGCTCTGAGAAAACATGCCAACAAATGAAGAATGCAAACCATACTTCTGTTCTGGTTTTTATGCTATGGCAAACATACAGACTTAGGAGCAATTATTCTACACAGTAACAGCAGCAACCTGTTCCCAGATTTACAATTAACAGCTTCAAATGGCTAGGAAATGATTGCTCTTAATATAAACTCATTTTTAGGGATACTTTACACTGAGAGCTACATGGAATACTAAGCTATCAGAAATACCCTCTCAATTTGAACAGGCTTTTGTACATATATGATGACAAAAAAAAAAATCAAGTCACCTTGAGAACCACATCAATTCAATTCTAAGTAATTCCTACCTTACTAGTAGGTTAATGCAGGCATTAACTAGTCCACACAAAAGTTTTTGTTAAAGCAGTGAGGCCTAAATCCTATGAGAGAGAGAGAGTATACCCAATACAGAAAAGGCAGCAACAGCCCCAAAACCATTAAAAACTCTGGCTCAGAAAAACATCACTAAATTCAGAAATGGAAACGATGTTCTAAAGGAATAATCCAGGAACCAAGATTTCCTAGAAGAGATGAATACTTGTTGGACAGATTTGATACATAATAGAGACTACATTAGAGAACTGTCTTCTGCATGCTTAACACTTTCCATCTGCTCTGGTAGCGAAACATTGTGCTGATTTGTGGCAGAGCTGTAAAGGACTTGAGAGACTGGATGCCAAAGCCGGGTCAGGGAGTGCTGACTGCCCTGAAGCACCTGGCAGGCACACCACACAGAGAACAAGGCAATGATCTAAAGACAGGGTATCAAAGACAGAGCCTGGAGGCAGCCCATCACTTCTGGGCAGCCGCTCCCAGAAGCGGAGAATTCTGAAGTCCTACTGCAACATGGAAGAAACACCTACCAGGGAGACGTAATCCTTCGTATGAAGTGCAAGACACCTTTATTTGTATTTGCCACTTGTACTATTCAGGAATACACCTCAGCTCCACTCAGGAATATGCATAAGCAGAGGCATGTAACCCCCTTCCATGCTGAAGGGCTTTTCTTTTTTCACAAACTGAGTTGTGGCCATATCCTGCAAAGTAGGATTCTGGGAACAGATTTTATGGGAAACCATGTTTTTCATGTAGCCCATGACATGCTCTGAAACTGCATCTTGCAGATTTTTGCATAAGGTCCCTCCATTCTATAAAACTGAAAAAATATGAAGTACACTTAAAAGAAATCTCTGCTTTCTGAGATCTTAGGTTGTACTCCATGTGTCTAGCTAATTGCCTCACTGCATTGTAAGCTTTCATTAAGATTAATAGTATTTGGATGCTATTTGCTTTTTTTAGACAAAATAATGAGATCTTTGCTGTAAGCAGGAGTTTCAGGATGACACAGAAAAAACTGGCACTGTGCCACACAAATACTTTTGCTAATCAACATTCCCTTTTAGTATGAGGCATTCTACATCCACAGTGGCCAAGTGAATTAGATACTTAGTCCTTGCAACAAATGCAAAATCAGAATTAAACACCACTGAACGAATCTGATGGAAGTGTTTCATTCAAAAGAAGCTTTGCTTGAGCATTATAAAACTGACTGTAATTGACATGACAGGAAAACAATTCTGAGGACTGCTGCATGGCTTGGTTCACCTTGTTGAGTTACACAGCACGGACTTAATTTTATTTTAGCTTAGAATTTGCACTGGACACTTCCATTCCTGTGCTGGGTCAAGCTGTAACATGCTGTTAAGTCATCACAGCAATTGCATCTACTGAAAAACATCTAGTTAATCCTTAATGAGAATTTAGAAAGTAAATAGGAAGAGCAGCCAGTCAGTCTCAGTTCTGATACGCCGTAGCTTGAGCCAGATGTATGAAAGCAAAAGACCACAGAAGTCAGGGAAAAAAATGCACCAGAGACTCAACAGAAATTTGAAAAGAGTATGTAGTGAAGTGAGGTGTTTGACAGTAACACGTTTATATGGTCGTGTAAAACTTCTATTTAAAAACATTAAATATACAACACTAACATAGCAGGTTGATTAGGTATTCCTCAGCTTTTGCCACTTGCCACAACCTATGTAAAGTACTTTTAAAACATACTCATTAAAACATACTAGAAT